ATCAACAGCAGCAGCAGCCGCCATGGTATACCCGCAGGCACAGCACAGCACAACGGCCAACACACACATCACACGGCGCATCATTATCATCATCATGAGGGAGACACAAGGGTTTGTTTCACGTAAAAACACTGATCTAGAAAGAAAGAGAATCAAAAAGACAAAAAAGAAAATAAATGAAGTATCAAACACGTTAGGACACACAAATCGATTACCACAGAAGAGACTCACATCGTGAAAGTAAAACCTACCAGTTAAAGAATGTAATACAGCGCAATAACCTCAGTAAGAGTAAAAACAAAAAAAGCCCACACTCATAAATATCTCAAAAAAGGCTGAACCACCCAGCAAAATCATCAAGCAAACAAAACAGATATTAACCATTAACCCAATTTACACAGTGAACACAAAAATACACCAACTATGGGTGTAAGTCTATACGTGTGTATATACGCAATTATAAATATAAATTCGTCTGTTATTATTATTTCCTTTTCCCCTCTGCAAAAAAACAGTTCATCATCATCATTACAGTGCAAACCCAGGTGCACATAGAGAGTGTGTCCAATAAAACACACAATACTCCATGGCTCTAGTTTATGTATTAAATTACTGCACACACACATCTGTGTGTACTAGCAAGAGATGTATACCGTCAGTGAGCAGAACAGCCCAGTTTTCTGCAAACACACATAACGGGAAAAGCAAATAATGGAATTATTAGAAAAAGAACACAAACATATAAAAGTGGAAGAAAAGAAAAGATATTCGAATTGAAAGAGAAAGCTAGTAAACAGATTATTAATTTATTCACCCATGGGGATGTACGCAAATATAATTATGTTAGCTTAACCACTATTATTATTATTTGTCCTCAGATGACACCCACCGTTCAGTACACGGTAGCGGAGAACATCACAACCACAATCAGTAACGGTGCTGCAGTGCCCATCCACACAGGACTGACACTGCTGTCAACAATGGGCTTGTTCGTCTGTACTGTGGAAGCGATGGTGTTGATCTCTGCGTTGGGTACAGGAGATGGAGTAGAGGTTAATTCCTCATTATTACTGGTTGTATTGGGAGTGTCAGTGTTTATGCTCTCTGATGTATTCGTTGTTGTATCGGGAGACTCAGTACCGTTGGCATCAGCATTCTTGATACCTTCTTGGCTTGAGTTAACAGGAGTGCCATCTGATGCAGTTGTATCTGCGCTTGTCTGTGGTGAAGGTGTGGTAGAAGAGGCCCCTGAATCCCCAGTTTCCTTGGAGACTGTATTTGTGTTGGATAAGCTGTTGGAATCAGATGGAATGTCTCTTTCCTTAGGGTCCTGGGACTCTTTGGGTTTCTTTATATCTTGTGGCAAAGCAGGATTAATTTCTCCTTGTGGTACATTTGATTTTGGATCTGTGAGCTGTGTCGGTGTGGGCTGAGCATCAACGGTGGGCGTTAATTTCTCAGGAGCATCAGGTTTCGCTTTATCTGTCTTCATTGCACCTTCAGTGCTCTCCTCCTGTAGTTGATGTTCCTGACCCGTTCTCACCAATTGCTGTTCTTGCACATGAACAGTCTCTGCAGCACGATCTCCTCCAGCACTGTCCACTCGAGGAGGATTGGGAACATCTTCCTCTGGAGGATCGATTACTTCAATACGAAGAGTACCTGACTCTTCCTTAGGAACAGGAACACCTCCTCGACTACGAGGAGCAAGAATTTTACCATCAGGAGAAGAAGTCGTGTTAGCGGACACGCATACAGAAGCAACAATTAGCAGAAAAACCAGCACACAAAAGTCTGGTCGCATAAGCATCATAAGCAAAAGTTAATTTTATCTGGTCAATTTCACTTGGCCACAAAAAGATGAACAGAAAACAGCAAAGAAGTAAACAATCCAATACATCAGAGAGAACAAAAGGTTAAAACAAAACAAGAATAGCAACAGTCATAAACAACAAGACTGACGCCAAAAACAAAAAAAAAATTCAATAAAGAACCAAACAAAAAAACAACCCCAAAAACAATAATAAGCAAAAAAAGTAATTAATAGTACAACGAACAGCCTCCTCAAACACACAACCCAGAGAACCACGATTATGTGTGAGTTAATGTGCAATTATCAATATATTTGCTTAACACGGATAATCCTTCCATCAGCACGAAAAAGAACATCAACAAAGTGCATGACAAAGCACACAACGCCCAAGCACATAATGCAAACAAAACAAAAATTAACCATTCGCCCAATTTACCAAATGAACACAGAAATACACACCAACTATGGGTGTAAGTCTATACGTGTGTATATACGCAATTATAAATATAAATTCATCTGTTATTATTATTTCTTTTTCTCACTACAAAAAACAGTTCATAATAATTATTACAGTGCAAGCCCAGGTGCACACACAGAGAGTCTTCAAGAACACACACACACAATGGAGTAGCAATAATAATTATTATAGGATAAACACAGAGAGAGCAAAAACACACAAAACACATTAATATTAAGAAACAAAAAAAAAGAAGAGAAATTCCCAACAGGTGAAAGATTAGTTAGACTGTAGTGTGGATGTATGCAAAAAAAGAAAACAAAGGATGACCTGAGTCACACCACACCACCACCACCATTACAATCAGCACACAAGAATAGAGGCCAGTGTAACCACAATCAGTAGTGGCACACGCATCCACACAGAACTGCTGATACTGCTGCTGCTGTCTGCATCACCCTTCTTGTTGTTTGCAGTCTCAGGAGGAAGTGTTGTTGTTGTTGTGGTGGTGGTGGTTGAGGATGATTCCTCATTAGTATTGGGTGTAGTGCCATTCTCAGGTTCAGATTCTTTGACTGTGCTTCCTTGAATCTGTACAGCACTACTGTTGCCTGCATCGTTAGTACCTTGCGTAACATTCTCGTTGGGGGAAGTTGGTGCATTTTCAGACTTCTGTTCTTCACTATTAGCATTGGGTTCTTCTGCAGTGAGAGAGCCAACAGTATTCTGTTCACTGCCAGAATTGGATCCACCATTATTTCCTGATTCCGTTCTCGCAACTACTTGTTCATTTTCCTGCGAAGCCGCTTTACCTCCAGCTTGAATTTGATCGTTCTGATTTGCTGATGGAGAAGGGGCTCCATCCTTTCTATCTCCTGCTACTGGTTGTGATGAAGTACCAAGTTGAAGAGAAGACGGGGCACTTTCACCTGGTAGCTGGTTTTGTAAAGGGTCCTGGGCATCACCTTGACCTAGTTTATCTATATTTTCCGCACCTTCGTCACCTTTAGAAGTACCAGCGTGGCCACTCCCTCCAACACCAGCTCCCGGTTTCGCACCAACACTGCCGCCTTTTCCATCACTTCCCCCACCCTGGCCAGTACCTCCAAGAGTAGCTGCTTCAGTAGCAGCAGGACCACCACCTTCAGGTTCACTAACTTCAACGTGAGTCTCAGTATTAGCACACACGAAACTGCAAGTACAATACAGTGCAAGAAGCACAACACACAACACTGTACGCATCATCATCATTACAATAATTCTTAGTGTGTCTTAATTCAGTGGTCCAAAGAAAAATAAAAGAAGAAATAAAGCAAAGAACAAATAGAAATAACAGAAAATAACGGCATCACCCATGAATACAAGAGTTATAACAAATAGCAACAACGATAAAATGAGCAGTGCATTGAATATTTACTTCCAGAAGAAAACCTATAAAACAAAAAGGTCGATAACACAAAAAAATAAAATCCTCAGACATCTTGCCCATAAGCATGAACATACCCTTTCAGAGTCATCTTCTCAAGCATGATGGCTTCTAATCGGTCTTCCTCTGCAGCTGTCTGCCTCTCCAGGTCCGTACA